GCTTGCATTCACACTTTCTGGGTTGTATGCCTCCTTTGACTGACAATTCAAGTCACTAGCTCATCCCTTTTTGTCCCACCCACTGGTTATGACTGTATCATACACCAATGTTGAGGAGAATGTGAATTGCATGGGTGCACCAAATGACATGCATTCCAAATGTCCCAGATACGGACTGTTCACGATTTGGGACTCATGTTCTATTGGCCCATGCCTTACTTCTCTGGGATCCTGAAAAATCTTTGATAGTCATATGCAAGCATATAACAAAATGTAAAAGGGCATGGTTTGTAGTTTGTAAAGAGCTTTTATTTCAGAGCATATTTCAGAGGGATTTTCACACGTAGTGCGCGGTGGGTGGCAACAGCACATTTGGGCCAGTCTGATGTAGAGTTTCATAGTGGTTATGGTGCTTGGAGTGTTTCATTAAGTGTTAATTTTGGCAGCAAATTTCAATTTAGTTTTAGTCGTATTTTAGTCATCTGAATTGTTTTAGTTTTAGTATAGTTTTAGTCGACTAAATATACTGGAGATTTTATTTGGCATGACTAAAATCTAATGGGTTTAGTTAAAGCTTCTATCTGTCTCTTTTGCCCCTTTACCAGTCCCTCTGTGTGTCTTTGTGTCCTCCCAGCCCCTCAAGGTGTCTCTCTCCCAAGCCCTGCTATGTCTCTTTTACCCCTTCCACAGCCCCTCTGTGCATTGTTAATTTTGGTGGCAAATTTAAATTTAGTTTTAGTCATAGACTTCTGCCTAAAAATCCATTTTAGTTTTAGTTGTATTTTAGTCATCTGAATTGTTTTAGTTTAGTTTTAGTTGACTAAATCTCAAACATTTTAGTAGACTCAAATTTGACTAAAATTATTATTTTTTTTTTAATTCTTTATTTTTGTTGTGCACAAATTAACAAACAGCCTCAGTATGCCACAACAGCAGTATTGAGGTATATAGAAATTAACTGTGCAATACAAGATGTGACATTTGATGTTTAGGCACAATTTTTAAAGAGTAAACTTTAGATAAGTCAGACTAGTGAGTTCAAGAATAGTAGGCTAAGTTGAGCTGATAGTTTAGGGTATTTAGTTAGCACTTAAGTAGTCAAACATGGTCTAAAACTTGCACATTAACTATAGGAACAGCAAGCAGAGTTTAACACGTGCTAGGCAAGTATAGGTTCATATACCACATGCTCATAGTGTCACGACAGCAGATACAAACTCAACCACAGCATATATGTGGAATTACAAGCCTGGCAGTAGAAAAGTCATGTATAATGATATATTGCATCAGCGGGCAGTAGGTGTCCGCAGATCTTGATACTTTATATAAGGAATAAAAGGTTATATGCATATATATATGTAGAAACAAAAAAGAAAAAAGAAAAATTTATAGAACATGGCAGCATTGAAGGGAACAGCACTCCGACAGTTCCTTAGTAACAGTTATGGCGATTCAGAACTGTCTCTGGTGTTAGGCAGGTGTCTCTTGGTCGGACTGCTCTGTTGTTTCGCTCTTCCCATGGCCTTTTTCTCATGTGTTTTTCCCCCTCGGTTTGTCTCTTCTGGCATGTTGGCGGTTGGTCGGCCCAGTTTGTTAAAGAGAGTCTCTGGGTTATCTGATGAAGTTAGGGTGAATGTTTCTGTGCCTTGTGTGACGGCCAAAGATCCATCCGCATTCCATCGGTATCTGATGGAGCAGTCCCGCAGCCTCCTAGCCACTGGGGCCAGCTGTCTTCTTTCCGCCAGGATGGTAAATGGGAGGTCGCTGTAGATGGAGAGGTTATGGCCCTCGAAACTCACTTGGCCCATAGATCTGGATTTAGCCATAATAGCGGTCCTCACCGCAATGTCTTTGGTTGTCACAATGACATCTCTCGGTGCGCCTGCTGGTGCCGCTGCGGATTTGCGTATTCGGAAGGCGGCCAGGATGCAAGGTGTGCCTGTGGGGCTGTGAATGCCCATTGAGGTAAACAGCTTTTGAACATATTGCAGCGTGTCCCCCCCCTCAACCTGTTCAGGTAGACCTCTCAGACGCACATTCCGACGCCTGTGTCTGGACTCCAGTGTGAGCACCATTTTGCTTATTTGTTTAACTTGTGAGGTGAGATCCTCCACATGTTGTGTAGTGGTCTGGAGCTGAGCGTCCCTGGCTTGTTCTCTGCTCTCCATTGCAGACATCTCATGCTGCAGGGCCTTGACCTCAGTTTGTGTTTCCTGGAGGTCGGCCTTCCACATTGTTCTCAGATCTAGGAGCAATTTTTTAATATCTCCCTTTGTGGCGGGGGATGAGTCCTCATCTGAATTAGTTCTCTGGTACACTCCATCTGGGTGAGGAGAGATGGTATAATCCTCTTCTTCAGGGGAGTCATCAGAGGCATCTTGCTCACTGTATTGCTCAGTTGCCGCCCTTGTGGGTGTTTGCTGGGGTGCCCTCCCAAAGGATAGTCTAATGTCCTGCACTGCAGGCCTGTCTGTCTGGAGCTGTCTTTTATGCTTGCGCCCCATATCGTCTGTGGGTATGTGTATGATACCGGGATCTCCCTCTCCGGTGGGGGGGGGGTTGGTGAGGCAAGTCTCTGGTGGGGTCTACTGTGGGAGCTGAGTCACCCTGTACCTTAGCAGGGGGAATGGCCACTTCCCGCCTGCCCGCATGTGGTAGGCCCCAACTCGTGCTGCAGACCCGAGTGATGGGGCTAGCGCTGCAGTTGTTGCTCCAGGCAGTCTCCGGGTGACTCCCCAGCTGCTCGTGGTTGGACCCGGTACGAAACAGCTTGATCAAAGCTGTGTTTTCTCCCAAATCGTCGCGGTGTAGCCGGAGCTCCAGTAAGTTGCGACCGCTCAGCTCCGCTGTTAGGCTCCGCCCCCTTGACTAAAATTATTAGTTGACAAAATTAACACTGGTTTGATTAAATCTGTAAAGTTTGTGCATCCTTTCTTCCTTTAGTGTATAAAAACTGAAAGAAAAACATGCCATACTCATGGCCATACTCATATGATTTGTTTTTGTTTAGCAAAAATAAAGACATTTGAATGTGGTAAAAAAAAAATACAACATGAATATAGGTTTAAAAAAAAATCATATTCACTGAAATTATGCTAGTAATAATGAAGTGTTAGAGTGGAGCATTTTTCTTAAAACCCTCTATCGTGGTAGCAAGTGTAACGGAATATTTCAGCACTTTCACTTTAAAGGTGCACTATAGGGTCAGGAACACAAACATGTATTCCTGATCCTATAGGTTTAAAACCACCATCTAGCTCCCCTGGTCGCCTAATGCCTCCCTAAATATAATGTAAAATCTTACTTGTATTCAAGTCTGGAGCTGCTTGGTTTGTCCCTTTTTCCTTTAGACCTGCTCACTGCCTCCTGACATCAGCAGAGGTGGTAGCCTGATCCAATCACAATGCTTCCCAATAGGATTGGCTGAGACTGTCAAAGAGGCAGATCAGGGGCAGAGCCAGCACAATTCAAACACAGCCCTGGCCAATCAGCATCTCCTCATAGAGATTAATTGAATCAATGCATCTCTATGAGGAAAGTTCAGTGTCTGCATGCAGAGGGTGGAGACACTGAATGTTTGGATGCATTTTAGGCAGCCATGACCCAGGAAGGATCTCTAACAGCCATCTGAGGAGTGGCTGGTAAAGTTATCGCTAGGCTGTAATGTAAACACTGCATTTTCTCTGAAAAGACAGTGTTTACTGCAAAAAAACCTGAAGGTAATGATTCTACACACCAGAACAAATTCAATAAGCTGTAGTTGTTCTGGTGACTATAGTGTCCCTTTAAAAGAAAATTATTTGAAATATACATGAAAAAAAGTGTAAAACTATCAATAGCTGAACTGTTAAGTCAATCTTTATGAGGATCCTATGTGCACTTCAAAGAGGTTTTGCACTTGCTCAACGTACCAGTTGTAGGTGGTACCACCTTAAAAATCCAGGTAACTGCCGAATATTTCTGTTTTCGATATTCCTTGAAGATATGAAAAAAAAAAAATCCACAAAACGGGAGCAACTTCTAGTGCTGATTATCCTTTACAATGTGTTACTTTACAATAATATGCAAGAAGCACACTCACTTTTAATGGGAGCGAAAGAGAGCCACCCAAAACGTAAATGCAGAATGTCTAAATTAGAATGACACTTCCCTCTGTGTTCAGTATTTACTTTTACAGGGTTAGTTGTGGAAATAAGGTCTACACATATTTCCTAGTTAGAGAAAATGTCTATTTACTCATTCTACAATATATATATATATATATCACATATAAAGCTGAGCACACATATTTCAATCAAGATGGCTGCTAGAAGCTTCTAACCCCTCCTTCCCCTCCTCTCCCTTCTTAAACATCGACTAACTACCTCGTGTAACAAGATGGTGCCGGGAAACCGTGGGAGACCCTCATGGTCCCGGTGACATCACCTGCAGTAGGCAGAGCATCAGAGCAACCACTTAACACCTAACCAATTATTGATGTATTATTCCATGTTATCTCTGACAATGCATATGATGTAATTTTGCTTTAAAAGGGACTTGCCGGCCCCTCTGAATAAACTTTCCTCAAGTTATTCAACAACCTAGAATGCCTCCCAAGTTATTCAACAACCTAGAACCTGTGTCTGGTGTGAATCACTTCAGGGAGCGTGCACGCATTGTTTCATTGATTTGGCCAGGGGCAGATACACAAAGAAATAATCAATCCTTTTATTGATTTTTCCACTTCAATTGGCGCCCAACGTGGGGCCCACCGGAGAGCCGGTTCGGAGGGCCGGAACCAACGGACCGGAGCGGACCTCCGGAAAGTGGGACAAGCGGAGCCTGATCACCTCCATAATACAGCCGTTGCCTGTGTTATTCTCCTGTTTTGTGCCGGTCTGTCTCCGAGTCCACTTCCGGCTTCCAGAAGGCTACTAGAGACAGGTAACTAACTCATCCGGTGCGCCCTTTTTAAGTGAACCTGTCGATTGTCTATCTGCCTCCTGTATTCATTTATGTGTGTGTGTTTATTATACCTTTAAGACATGTTTGCTTGACTGCCTAGCGGGCAGGGAACGCAGTTTATGTTTGCTTGACTGCCTAGCGGGCAGGGAACGCATTTTATGTTTGCTTGACTGCCTAGCGGGCAGGGAACGCATTTTATATGTTTGCTTGACTGCCTAGCGGGCAGGGAACGCAGTTTATGTTTGCTTGACTGCCTAGCGGGCAGGGAACGCAGTTTATGTTTGCTTGACTGCCTAGCGGGCAGGGAACGCATTTTATATGTTTGCTTGACTGCCTAGCGGGCAGGGAACGCATTTTATATGTTTGCTTGACTGCCTAGCGGGCAGGGAACGCAGTTTATGTTTGCTTGACTGCCTAGCGGGCAGGGAACGCAGTTTATGTTTGCTTGACTGCCTAGCGGGCAGGGAACGCAGTTTATGTTTGCTTGACTGCCTAGCGGGCAGGGAACGCATTTTATATGTTTGCTTGACTGCCTAGCGGGCAGGGAACGCATTTTATATGTTTGCTTGACTGCCTAGCGGGCAGGGAACGCAGTTTATGTTAGCTTGACTGCCTAGCGGGCAGGGAACGCATTACAGCCGGTGGGGCTGGGTTTTTATGTTAGCTTGACTGCCTAGCGGGCAGGGAACGCACTGCAGCCGGTGGGGCTGGGATTTTTGTCTGATTATTGTAGTATTTCCGTTGGTACCAGTGTTTTGCCGGGACCAGCCTGGTGGGTGAAGGCTGGAGATTGTTATATTCTGAATATCTGACACCGGTGGTGTTAACATGTACATGGCCATTTTGCTCTCTATCATTCTGTGGTTTCTGTTTAATTGTTGTTACAGTGTGGGTACCCTTGGTGTGTGTGTGTGTATTGTGTGGTTAGTTCTGGATTCCGGAGTTTACGCTCATTTGTATGTTTGTGATTTTTGCAAATGTCTTCTCATTAGCGCAGCCACGTTCATTTTCTCCTTTGTTCTTTATCTCTCCTGTGCCTGTTGCCCAGAGCTGTGTTAGTCACCCACGCTCATTCGCTCCCGTCCGTGACCACCACCCCGGGTGGGCGGATCTCCGTGACTAGTCTACGTTTGGGGAAGACGCACGGGGCTCAAGCTCTCGTGGCAGTCGAGCACTGTAGACATTCTTTTTCCCCTATACTTACTATACTTCTTTGTCTTCCACGTGTGGCACACTTTGGTTAAACAAAAAAAACAAAAAACAAAAAATGGGACAGGAACACGCTAGACCTGCTAAGGGCTTGCTAGCTTGTGACATAGTGAAAGAAAGGGCAGGAGAAGATGCAATGCTAAAACTTAAAAAGATTGCTAAGGTGTGTGGTTTCCAGATGTTGCCCAGCGGGAGATTACAACCTGAGTTTTGGAGAAAGTTACTCATAGACAAGGAAGGGTTGTTGTTGGATAATGGACTAACGAAAGTTGCAGAGGCTTGGTACCGGGTAGCTAGAGGGTTGAAAAGGGAAGGATGGGTCGAGGAAGAACTGGAAGTTGAGGGGCAAAATGTGTATGTTTATCACAGGAGTGTTCACAATGATGATGTTGTTCCTATCGTTTCACGACCACCGCCCTATGATGGCGCCCGGAGCGCAACACTTAATTCCCGCCCTGTTTCCCCCGTCACGACGCAGACCCCACCTACTGGGGGTGTGTCGTCAGCTCCCACTCCCCTGTGCCCCGTACTCGGTGCGGATGGTTCCTACTATTACCCAGTGCCACTTCATTCGTTCCCTCCTACTCCCATGTCTCAACCCTCCTATGATCCAACCCCCTTCATTAGCCATCCTCCTGACATGCGTGTCGAAACCCCTCTGCTTTCATGTCCTTCGCTGCCTCCCCCAGTGACCGTCCCCACTCTGGACCTTACCATGGCTTCCCTCACCTCACCCATTGAAGTCCCACCATCCCCTTCCGTTTCCCTACCACATGCCCCTTCTACCAGCCCTATTCCTCCGAATCTCTGTCTCCCTGCTGACCCAGGACCCCTCCCTTCCTCGGCCGATTTGCCGTCCCTAATCTCTGCCCTCACCGCCCTAACCCAGCCCCCCGTTACCACCTCTCCTCCAGCGTTACCTGATCCTGAGAAACACCCCATGCCCTTTTTCCGCAGGATGGCTCAGATCCGTAAGACATATTCCGCCGCATGGCGGGACCTTATTAGTTTATGTGAAATTAAGGCCGGAGATGCATACTGGCCAATCATGGAACGGAGCTTTAGTGATGCTCCACTTACTTCTGATACTGATTTCCGTTCTGGTGAAATTTTCTGTGAACAACTTCGCGCCTGGGCGCAGGATAAACTAGCTGACCAGGCTACTTGCATTAATGACATAATCCAGGACAAACTTGAGACCGTTGAAAAGTACCATTCTAGGTTGACTCAGACATTTTCGGACTTAGGGTTCAGCACTTACAACAAGGCACACACCCAGATGCTCTCTGCAGCTTTTGTGGCAGGACTGAGAGAACACATTCGCAAGGGGTTAATTTTAGCTCGCCCTGAGTATAGAATTATTCCACTAGACACTCTTTTGTTAGTAGCCAAGGGCCTAGAATCTGTTTTACAACCTACGCAGCGTAGGGCTAGCCCGCTGATGTACACCGCTTCCACACCTATCGTTGGTTCTAATCAAGCCCCTCAGGTATTCCCCCAACAGTACACTCAATCACCTCAGGCACTGCCTACACCTATCCCTTTCCCCCGGGACCGGACCATTATGACAATCCGGACCTGTTTTAATTGCAGTCAGCCAGGCCACTTCAGAAGAGATTGCCCACAGCCTAGAGTGTTCCGCCAGCCAAGTCCCCGGTACCAAGGCCCCCATGTCACCGGCTATAACTACCCTTCCCCTGGTTACCTCCCCGCCCTTCCCCATCCACATTTGCCTCAGCTTCCACCACCTCCTCCTCCTCCTCCTCCTCCTGAATACACTCAAGCTCGGCCCCCTGTATCAGAAGCTCACACGTATACTTAACACTCTGCAGAAGGGTTTGATAATGATGATTTCCAAGACGGCCAACCCCGTCCCTCCCTCCGCCCATCCCGCCCTCCCATGCATTCTGCTAACCCCCCTTCTACTTCCCGCCGGTACCAGGGACCAGACCAGGCCCATTTAGATTTATTACAATAGGTAACCGGCAAGCCTGTGTCAGCAACCCCTGCCATGGCAGTGTCTGCGGGGGATGGGGGGGCCCTCTAGCTACTGTTGTTCTCCCTGTGGAGGGCCACCCCACCACTTTCCTGGTTGACACAGGTGCAGCCCGTAGTGTCCTTAGGGAACAAGACCTGCCTGACCCCTCTTTCTTATCTGACACTGATGTTTCCTGTGTTGGGGTGGATGGTACCCCACGCAGCAACCCCCTTACTAAGCTCCTACACGTAGGTTCACACATCCTCTCACGCTTTGTGGTTTCCTCTACTTGCCCCATTAACCTCCTAGGTGCCGATGTTCTCTCTCGCCTCCAGGCCTCCATTACCTTCACTGCAGATGGGCAGATTGAGTTGACAACTCCCTTATCACAAAAAGATACCTCTGTCCTCTGTTCACTCCCTATTTTGTTAAACCTAACTGACAACACAGGGGATGCACGGGTCCCACAAACCCCCAGTGCTTTGGATCGTATCCCACCTGAACTTTGGTCCACTGGCCCGGATGATATTGGACGCTTACATGTGCCCCCGGTCTTGGTTCAGCTCCTGCCCGGGGCACTACCTCCTCGCAGGCCACAATACCCTCTAAAGCCTGCACAAGCTGAAGCCATTACCAGACAAGTTGAAAGTCTCCTTACCAAAGGTGCCCTCATCAAGTGTTCCTCTCCATGCAATACCCCACTTTTTCCTGTTAAAAAGAGAACTGTTAAAGGTCAACCTGACCAATATCGTATGGTACAAGATCTCCGTGCTGTGAATGATGTGACCATCAAAGACACTGCCATTGTTCCTAACCCCCACACCCTCTTATCCCAAGTCCCATCAACTTCAACAATATTCACCGTGGTGGATCTAGCTAATGCCTTCTTCAGTGTTCCCCTTGACCCTTCATGTCGTTTCCTCTTTGCCTTCACCCATGAAGGACAGCAATACACCTGGACTGTCATGCCTCAGGGGGCTCAGAATTCCCCCACACAGTTTGCACACGCCATGTCACTGGTGTTGGAACCCTGGCAACAATCTCATTTGGATGTCGTCCTGCTTCAATATGTTGATGATCTCCTTCTCTGTGCTCCTGATTTACTCACTGCGGAGCGTGATTCAGAAGACCTCCTATGTTTTCTTGCTGCAGCTGGTTGCAAAGCCTCCAAATCCAAGTTACAATGGTGCCGGCCCTCTGTGGTCTTCTTGGGACACTGCCTTTCCCATGGCACCAAACATCTCACCTCCCAACGTGTACAAGCCATTCTGCTTCTTCCATTACCTGCTAATCACCAGGCTCTCCATGCTTTCCTGGGTCTAATCACGTACTGCTGGTCCTGGATACCTGAAGCATCAAAACTTATGCAGCCGGGGGGCGGGGCTTACCAAGCGTCCTGACCAGACGCCATTTCTGAAGCTCCCAAAACTGCAAATCGAATCCAGATGATATCTGCTAAACCGATTCCAATCCGGCTTCCACACAATCCCAGCTGTGATCAGAGGAACGTATAGCATCGATAGATGCCTTTTTTCCAACCGCCAAAGCCAGCCCGACGGAAACCCAAAACCGGGGCCTACAACACGCTGCAAGGCCTGGGGAGTTTCCTGGGAGAAATCGCAGCATCAAGAGCGGAACAACCCTACACCCACACGGTACAGGCTTCATCCCAGAGCTTGCCAAACATGGGTAGGCGTTCTCAGAGGACGCACACCTCGGCAGAAACTAGGGACATAGGAACTATGTTCCAGAAGCCACCGCCACCTAGGCCTCCCGCCGTGGAAGAAAGAGAGCAGGCCCCGGCGCCACACCAAACTGGGCCCGAGGGATCATCGCACCCACCACCACAACGAGATGGGCCTCCAGACCCACCCGATGACTCAGCTCCTACTACGAAAAAGGACCTAAAACTCCTACTAACCGAAATACATAAGCTACTCGCGGCCGACTCGGCCATTCTCAAATCGGAGGTCCGTGCAGTGTCGGAGAGGGTTGGAACCAACGAAAAGGCCATAACAGAGGTACAATCTCACCTTTCCGAAGTACAGGGTTCCATACAGACACTGTACACGCAGCAGCACTTTCTGTCGCTTAAGCTCACCTCACTAGAAGATCGCCAGAGGCGAACCCATGTTAAAATCAGGGGCATCCCCACAGAGATTACGGCTGAAGAGCTACCCCACTATATCAGGAGACTGCTGGCCGCAATCCTGCCACATGCAAAGGCAAAGAGAGTAGCTATCGACAGCGTTTATCGCCTCCCAAGCCCTTCTCACTTTAAGTCCACAGCGATACGAGATGTCATCCTCCGCTGCACCTCACTACCGGACAAGATACAGATTATGTCAGCTATGAAGGGCAAAACCCCCTTCACTTTTGAAACCGCAAGTCTCACTTTTTTCCAGGACTTAACAAGGGCCACTCTCCTACACCGCAAATCATACAGCACGGTGACAGCACAACTGCGAGCTGCGGGGCTACAATACAGATGGGGACTGAATGGTTCCCTGACTACGACCCAAGGCGGGACGACACACACCCTGACATCCATGACGGATGCACCGACCTTCCTGGAAACTTTGGGACTATCGCAAGCTGATGTGCCCTCCACCTCGGCATCACAGGCGGCAATGAGGGACCCTGCGTCCATACCACCGTTCGTCCCACGATCGATGAACACACAGGGCGCAGACAGCCCTGAATGAACACTTGTCTACACATGTGTTAATACATTATTTAAGTTCACTCTTATTTCTATGTTCATAGTTAATATCTGTCATATATCTCTAGCTGCTGCCCTATTGCTACCCTCTAATAGGACAAACTAATTTAAGAAATAGCCGGCCTGGTCGGATGACGTAGGGACCACACTACATGGCGGACCGAACACCCCCCCCGCCCCCGCAACCCCCTTGGTCAAGGGCTCTTAACCCGCACACGCACGACAGAGAACGCATAATTCACATCTCGGGCCTCCCGGCTCAGACCTCACACAGCGTGACAATTTTCTCTTAACCACATACACACATGATGTCTTAATCAATAGAGAAACTGACAGGTCACCATTACAAACCCATTGCATATCCCAGACACACTGACCCCATATAAGAGTGTAATGTTGCACCTTGACAAAGCCTGATATATGTTACATGCCGTAAATTTTCATGAGAGCCTGCATGAGAGATCCGGGCCTATGGGTCGCAGGCCTGTAGAGCTGTAGGCCACTAAGTATACGAAGCAATAACCGTTGTCACATATACACTGCATATTATCCTAATACGTTGTTAACTGTTTGTACCCAATACCTGCAATGTTGTGTTATACTTGTTACAAAAAGAAAAATGGAGGCTACTTTTTACGGAAGCTCGTTCCCCCTGACTGCGTTCAGGGCCGAGCAACTTTCCATTGTCATTCTTTATACTGTTTTGCGTAAATGCCTCACTAAAATAAAGATTTAAAAAAACTTATGCAGCCACTCTATGATGCCCTCAGGAGTGAACCTTTCCATCTCACAGAAGAAACTATCAACTGTTTCCGCACTCTGAAAAGAGCTATTGCTTCTGCACCTGCCTTGGGCCTACCAAACTACCAACTTCCCTTCAACCTATTTGTCTCTGAAAAATCAGGACATGCTTCCGGAGTCCTCACCCAAAAACATGGCTCAAGACAACGCCCTATTGGCTATTTTTCCTGCATGCTTGACCCTGTTGCAAGGGGTAGCCCCTCTTGCCTCCGCGCGGTGTTTGCCGCCAGTGCTCTCCTGGACAAGACTAATGACTTTGTTCTTGGCCATCACCTCACAGTGTTGGCCCCTCATGATATTACTGCAATCTTACAGCAAATCCGCCCAAAACACCTTTCTTCACAACGCCACCTTCGCCTACAGACTTCCTTACTCCTACCTGACAATGTGAAACTCCAGAGATGCTTTTCCCTGAACCCAGCCACTCTTCTGCCACTTCCCAAGGGGGGAATAGTACATCACTGGTACAGCCTGGACATCAACCCAGAGGTCCGAGCAGATTTACAATTGCCTGTGTTTACACCTTCCCCTGATGATGAACACTCAGAGGCCCTACTCCACTGTGTCTTGTGGTTTAGGGACATACCAAGCCCTGACGTGGACTATGAGGAAGAACTATTTCAGCTCAAAGACATCCAAATTACCTTGACTGACTTGTTTTGTGACTCCACAGGTACCATGCTCATTCTGGTACATCTTCCGGACAATGCAGTACACCTCTACCACCATTGGGAAACAGCTATCCCACACATACCTCTCACCAGATCCCACGACATCTCATGGGAGACCCTAGGCCCAATGGCCAAAACTTGGAACCAAATGACTCAAGAACAACTGACTTCTGCAGGAATAAATAAAAAGACAATTAACTACTGCACAACAGGACACTCCAGGTACCACACAGAGGCCTGTGAGGACCCACCCACCATAGACTGCGACCTTATTGATATCCCTCACGACTGTTTTGAACAAATGAAAATGGAAACTACACACCTACCAACTGTTTATGAAGCTCCATTACTCAACCCGGATCAGACACTATTTGTGGATGGCTCAAGGTTTGCTGACGAACAAGGACAATACCACACTGGATATGCAGTTACCACAGGATGTCAAATATTACAAGCAGCTGCCTTACAACCAACTAAATCTGCCCAAGAGGCCGAGTTAACAGCCTTGACTGTGGCCTGCAAACTGTCCGAAGGCCTACGTGTCAACATTTATACGGACTCAAGATATGCCCTGGGAGTGGCACACAATTTTGGCTTAATCTGGAAGACCAGAGGATTCCTTACAGCTACCGGTACCCCAGTAAAGCATGGGAAAACCATTGCAGAACTGATGGACGCATTGGAACTCCCAGCAGAAGTGGCAGTATTGAAAGTAAAAGCTCATGGAAGATTAGACACAGAAGAAGCACGTGGCAATAACCTAGCTGATCAGGCAGCCAAAGAGGCAGCACGACAAGGATGGGAAGTGGACAGAAGAGTGGCCACAGATGCATTACCAATATATACTATGCAAACATTGCCTACAGACCTCAAGCTGCTGAAGGAACAGCAAGCTGCTGCCACTCCTCAGGAGAAACAGAGTTGGAAGAACAAAGGAGCCATACTCCGTGATGAAGTTTACACCATTAATCTCAAGTTCTGTCTACCTAGAAGTATGTACCCAGCGGTGGTCCAATGGGCCCATGGGCCAGCCCACCTATCAAAGCTCCTGATGAATTCACTGATTGACAAGTATTTTGAAGCACCAGGCATCACTACCTTAACACAGAATTATTGTAAATCTTGTACTATATGTGCTAAGTGCAACCCTGGAAAGATCATAAAGACTGCACCTAATCATCTAGCCAAGCCACAATACCCCTTTCAGAGGATTCAGATTGACCATATTCAGATGCCAAAGAGCGGACGCCATGAATATGCACTGGTCATAGTGGACATGTTTTCCGGATGGCCAGAGGCCTTCCCAGTGACCAACCTCACCGCGAGGACAACAGCCAAGTACCTCTTGACAGAAATTGTTTGCCGTTACGGGGTTCCAGAAGTAATTGAGAGTGACCAAGGAACCTCCTTCACTGCCTCACTAACACGGGAAGTCTGGTCAGCACTGGGGGTGACCCTTGCATTCCACACACCATATCACCCACAGAGTAGTGGTAAGGTAGAGTGCATGAACGGCACTCTAAAAGCCAGAATGCTTAAAATGTCACAAGAAACTAACATGCCTTGGCCCGAGAGTCTCCCATTAGCATTGTTTAGTGTGAGGTACACTCCTAGGGGAAAATACAGCCTGTCACCTTATGAAATTTTGTTTGGCACAGCACCTAGGTTAGGTTGTTACTTTCCCCAACAGCTTCAGATCCAGTCAGATGCTATGGTAGATTATGTGACAGCCCTCTCACATGCCTTGACCAAGATACATGCCCAAGTGTTTTCTTCTATTCCAGATCCTGAGTCGAATACAGGTACACACAAGCTGCTTCCAGGTGACTGGGTTATGGTTAAGAAGTTTCTCAGAAAACACACCCTAGAACCGAGATTTGATGGTCCTTACCAAGTGCTCCTGATTACAGCAACGTCAGTTAAACTAGCTGGGAAGAGTTCTTGGATACACGCTTCACATTGCAAAAAAGTGCCTGCTCCAGAAGAGACTGATCCTGTTGAAAAATGAATTTATTATGTGTCTTGTGTTTTCTTATGCTGCTACATTTTGCCTGGGCCCAACAAGTGGCCATAACCAAAGATAACCATGTTTACACTTTTTGGTACAATTCCTCTAATACTGATGTGGCTACATACACCTTTGACTATTGTGACATAGTTACTTGTACATTTCCACAAACACAACATGCAGCTGTATATAAGGACATACCTAACAAAAAGGATCCATACATTTGTGTGACTGGCGGAGGTTGGGGACATCATTGTAGTTCATGGAAAGCTGCCGGGTGGAACACAGGTAGACCATGGGGCTACAGACCTCAAGTTGCATTAGACAAACTTGACAAAGACGGGAAACCCTTGCTCTCTAGAATGACCCTGAGTAAACCCATAGGGTCAACTCCCATTAAACTCACCTTAAATATAGAACACCCTAGTCAAAGGGATGTAGGGGAGTATGTAATGGGAATGTACTGGAAGGGAGGTGGCTCACATAACGCATTAGGGACCTTTTACTTGCAAGATATGCTAAATTCCTCTGACTGGGCGGGAACTACACATATGGTCATTAACCCATTGAAACCACATATCAAAACCCTACATGACATGGTAGCCATAGCTAACCCCACCTTTGAAGATACCATGGCAGTGGAAACAGGGTTTTCAGATACCAATTTATGGCTAGAATGGATGAGGTACAACGCCAACTCACACAATAAGACTAATTGTTATGTATGCGGAGGTGCCAGACCCCATCTGGTTACAGTACCTCTGAGTTTACCTCCTGAAATAGGATTATGTGTACTGAGTTTGTATGCACAATCCACCACTAACTCCTCAACATGTGAATCCTGGAAGAAGATTTACCCAATCACCCATGGACATGTAAAACCACCTGATGGAGTCACCATCTACCCAGGTAATTACACATGCTATTCAATACCAGAGAACACTGGTTTGTATCTGGGCAAATTCCCATCAGGATACTGCTCAACTTACCATAGTCTACCTGTATCACTGCTAATGAATCACACAAAGACAATCGGTGATATCTATTGGTTATGTGGTGACAAACAATTAAGGCCCCAATTAGCTGGGCAATGGTGGGGGGAGTGTGCCCTAACCAAAGTCATAATGCCTATCCATATCATTCCAGATGGTGACCATAACACGCTAGACCTCACACATATACACTCTAGAACCAAACGAGAGACCCCTATTCGAGGGAGTTTCGACCCCCATGTGTACATTGATGCCATAGGTGTGCCAAGGGGGGTGCCTAACGAATTCAAAGCAAGAGACGAAGTGGCTGCAGGGTTTGAGTCCCTAATCCCAATGATAACTGCTAACAAGAATGTCAATTGGATTAACTATATCTATTATAATCAGCAACGCTTTGTCAACTACACAAGGGATGCCCTACAGGGCCTGGCAGAGCAACTACAGGCCACTACCCAAATGACATTTCAGAACAGAATGGCCCTAGATATGATTCTAGCCGAGAAAGGGGGAGTATGTAAAATCCTCCCTGAGACCATGACATGCTGCACATACATTCCAGACAACACTGGGCCCAATGGTAAGGTGACTATGGCCATAGAAAAGCTAGATAGTCTTGCAGACGAATTAAAGAAGAATTCGGGAGTCACTGACATATGGGACAGATGGTTTGGGTGGATGAATGGCTGGCAAAAGACCCTCTTTCAGGTAGGGACAGCTGTTCTCATGGTGTTCATTATCTTTTTGTTCTTAGCCTGTTGTATACTCCCCTGTATACAGAAATATCTGCAGAAAGCGGTGGATAAGACTGTAGATAACGTGACCCCTACCTTCATACATCAAGATATCACAGACCTTGAAGATGACACCCCACATACACCCCTACAAACACATCAGTTTAAACAGACAACTGCTTTTTTGTAGGGATAGAGTAGGGAAAGCGTCTGTCTTGACAGGTGAGTCTCACGTGTGGAGATGTAGTGGGCTAGCCACTGCGGGATACCCGCGGAGTGAAGCGTTCGATGCTTGTCAAGACAGATAGGTTGCGGGCAACTAGGGACATATTAGGGACAGCAGCAGTTGTTATGGTAAATAGTCATTTTAGGGGGGACTGTTGTGGAAATAAGGTCTACACATATTTCCTAGTTAGAGAAAATGTCTATTTACTCATTCTACAATATATATATATATATATCACATATAAAGCTGAGCACACATATTTCAATCAAGATGGCTGCTAGAAGCTTCTAACCCCTCCTTCCCCTCCCCTCCCTTCTTAAACATCGACTAACTACCTCGTGTAACAAGATGGCGCCGGGAAACCGTGGGAGACCCTCATGGTCCCGGTGACATCACCTGCAGTAGGCAGAGCATCAGAGCAACCACTTAACACCTAACCAATTATTGATGTATTATTCCATGTTATCTCTGACAATGCATATGATGTAATTTTGCTTTAAAAGGGACTTGCCGGCCCCTCTGAATAAACTTTCCTCAAGTTATTCAACAACCTAGAACCTGTGTCTGGTGTAAATCACTTCAGGGAGCGTGCACGCATTGTTTCATTGATTTGGCCAGGGGCAGATACACAAAGAAATAATCAATCCTTTTATTGATTTTTCCACTTCAGTTACTTACTAAAGTGAGAATCCAAAGTGAATTTCAAATTTAAGGCCAAAGTGGCCAAACAGGAAGCATAGCTGACCTATTTTATTTTTATTTTTATTACTTTAAAGGGACACTATCGTCACCTTACCTTAATGAAGCAGTTTTGGTGTATAGATCATGTCCCTGCAGTCTCACTGCTCAATTCTCTGCCATTTAGGAATTAAATAACTTTGTTTATGCAGCCTAGTCACACCTCCCTGCATTGTTTATGCAGCCTAGTCACACCTCCCTGCACTTACTTTTACGGTAAGTTACATCTGATTAAAAATTAAACCATTGTGTTTTCATTCAGGCTGTGTGAGTCAAGGCCAGGGGAGGTGTGACTAGGGCTGCATAAATGAAACAAAAACCATTTACTGAATTCTCACTTTAGTGAATAACCCTGACATTGTAACAAAATATGTGCCATATACACATTTTTTTTTTTTTTTAATAATAATCTTTATTGAAAATTTTTCTCATTTTATCGTACATATAACAGCACTAGTGCAAATTTACGTACAATACAAAAACAAGTGTGACAATAACAACATATAATATTGCATTTATTACAGCAGTTCTTGTCTAAAGTATAGGATTGATTCCCCAACTAAACAGCTAAGAATATCTTTATAAAAAGATAAAATTGCCCGAATGCCAAGTCCGCTCACACTTAACTCCTTTATCAGCCTGTCCCCATCTTAAATGTGTTTTGTTACTCACTAATCTCATAACGACATACCAGCTATCCGAACAACCTACTTGTTTATTAATTGTTTATTGTAAACGCGCAAGTCACTCCAGCAAGTTTTAAGCCACGCACCCGCATACCACTCATGTCTATACAACCCACATCAACCACGTCTTAAGTTTTGCTATACACCCTAGACATGTTTGAAAACCACGTAACCTAGCTACTACTAAAAAAGAAAAATGTGTGCAGTGATCCACCATGCCCTCTATTTGTTCATTTATGTATTTGCTTATCTTGTACTTGCTGTTGGGGCAACGCGAGAGTCTGTGTCAATTGTTGGCACCACAAAATAAAGAATTTATAACAAAAAAAAAAAGATAAAATGTATCATTTAGAACTGCTGTAGGAATAAATATGGGCAGTGGTCCGTCTGAAATATCATAAAAAACATCGTTGTGAATGTGATTATCTATCAGAAACTTAACTTGTTAATTTCTCTTCCAGAATTCGAATCCAGTTAATGTATTGGTCTTGTTTATTTATAAGATGTATAGAGGAGACCGGTAAATCTTTTTCCATTCGGAGTTGGAATAAAATTTGGTTGATTAACTGACTCCTCTGAAAAGGAAGATTCGACTTCCATTGTCTTGCTATTAATATCTTTAACCACCAAAAAGCAGTGGTTTGCAAGGCACTTGGGTGAAGTGGAAGTAAGTTTCCAATTTAAATGTAACAATGCTGTATCAGGGCCTTTTTTAATTGTAATATTGAATAAGCATTTAAGTATTTCAAAAGACCACTCCCATAGACATTTGACTGCGTTACAATGCCACCATATATGAACAAGTGTTCCATCTAAGTAACCACAGCACCAGCAGTGGGGAATTTGACCTGGGTGCATCTTGCTTAATTTATGTGGAGTCAAATACCATTTGTACATAATCTTATATTGGCATTCAACTAAGTTCTGACAATGGAAATATTTGCCGGTGTCTTTAAGAGACGAACACCATTCATTTTCAGTTATATCAATATTTAAGTCTTTTTTCCATTTATCTAGTATCTTTAAGGGTTGTTGGTCAAGAGTAGATAACAGGTTAGTAGCTTTTGAGAGGATTTTATTAACCTTGGTATAACTAAAAATGGCTTGGATAAGGATGTCAGTTTTTGGCGACATTTTCAGTAAGGTCTTATTCAAAAAAAATTAGATTCTTAAATAGGAGAAGAGTTCTTTGTTGGGGAGATGTAATTTGGCTTGAATATCAGCAAAGGGTAAAATTTGGTCATCCTGGGGGCGGGGCCGGACCGCCGACGGGATCAGACGTGCTCTGTCTGAGCTCCCGCTTTGGGGCCGGAAAATCGGCGCAAACTGGGGGCAAAATCTTCCCAGCAACCCGCAATGGAGACTAAACGGAGCCCCAGCTCCTGGGGCACGAGGAGAAACCCCTCACGATCCTGTCCGGTGCCTACAGTAACCCGACAACGACCCGAGGCATGTTGGAGCTTGAGCCGGGATCTCCGGTTGGTGTCCGGCCCTCCCCCCCCCCTCTGGATTGGGGGGGTCATCCCAGTCCACATAATCAACTACTATTACGCCAAGCTGGGCAGAAAACAATCACCCCGCTGGGAAACACTCACCAGCAGCACCCTCCCAAGATGGCCGCCGCACACCAGCCACGAGTGCAAACTACCCACAGGATGGAACTAGCACACAGACGAAACCATCCAGCGCCATCTGACCACCACAGTAATCATCTCCAGGGATGTGTCGGCTCACTACACTGGGCTAAACAAGGTGATGTTCGCAGCATATGTATTTGGTGGAAAAACCCCTTTGTGCCTGAGGAAAGCACCTGAGGCCCACCCTATCCCTCCTGGAGGACACTACAGTAGCTGCAGCTGCATCCACGCTTATCCTGTGCGACAACCTTCAGAGCAAGCACACTGCCAGCATTGGGTATCGATTAAACAAACCCACCAGGCTATATGCTGGCTCACTGAGCAGACCAACAACGGGTATCGGATGAAACCCTGACTACTGGACTCCCATCCATGCTGGACTGAAACCGGGTAACCAGAAAGGTCACCACTTTGGGACTCCTTAAGCTGCCTATGACGACCTGAGATTTCCTAGATTGATTTATCTTTACCCTAGCTAAGATACTATCACTTAAAAGCGTCTATACATATGTCTGTTTTCGCTATAATCTTATACAT